AGGGGAAGGCGGGGGGCGGGTGGAAGAACACTAAACTTAAGCCAAAACTGACTGAAAAATTACATTTAATAAAGTCCAAGTAATAAAGTCATTCAGAATGTTTCCTAAACACAAATGTATTTAAACAAACTCTCCCTATCAGAATTCATACCCAGAATCCTTTAATTGCCTATGCTGAGGAAGACTTAATTTCACCGAACAGTAAATAACGTTACGCATAAAAATTAAACACATGAAAATATATTTCCCCTAAAATATGATCCAGTCGAAGCAAGAGAAAACGAAGTAAACAAGGCAATAGCTGACGCTAGATGAGCTGTTTTACTCTGAGGCAACTGAACAAACTTCAAAGTCTGAAGAAATATCACCGGACTTCAAAGGCAGCCCGACAAGAGGAAAAACAAGCGGAGACTGACTTCGGTCTGTCACTAGCGATGAACTGCTCACAATGGCCTCCTCCAGTTAATCACGCATGTCACACTGATAATTAAGTCAATTTCAAGCAAACAATAGATGTAGAGATCGAAACATTGATAACCTTGACTAAACTTTGCAATTAACTTACCGCCCCCCGGTTGCTGCTCTTTAACAGACGCATATTTAGTGAGTAAAGAAGAAATACTTTTCATCAAACAGACCTAAAGCAGTGTCTGCTCACATCTTGCAGTTCACGATTTGACCAGTGGTGGCGACAAAGCACTGCGTCTGCGTTGATCATTTTCAGAAATACATGCAAGCTGGCCTCTCAAAATGCTGAAGATAAGAGCCCTTACATTTAAGTATTATACACCTTTTCTTATGTTGGACCATAAATTTAAGCATTTTCTAACAGCGCTATCTGAAAGGCATATGAGATGCATTATTGTGTAAATAACCTGTCAAGAACATATTTTTCTTAAGACCATTAAACCTATTAGGGCCAGTCCTTTTTTTTGTGTTATGCTTGCTTTGTCACGTTGTTATGACAAATTCCCATAACCTTAATTAAAATTAAATGGATAAATAAATCAAATAAAGTAAAAATGAATGATAAGCTCTCGTTTCCTAAATTATAATCTATATATTTATACAGATAAAATATTTTTTTTATAAAATATATATATATTATAATTACATATTTATTAGGGCTGTCAAATAGTTTAATATAGATTAAAGTATGTTAATATGTATTTGTACTGTGTATATCTATATGTATATATAAACACATACACATGTATATATTATTAAATATTTACATGTGTGTATATTTGATTTATATTATATATAAATATATATTACACAAACTTAAATATTTACATATATGCATGTGTATTTATATATACACATATACAATAAATATGTACATGTAAATATATACATATATATATATTCATATTAATATATGATTTATATGATATATAAATATATATTACATATATTAAATATATACATGTATATGTGTATTTATATATACATATAAATATATGCTTTACATATATTATGTAAACAAAAACTTTTATTGTGGATGCTGTTAATCACGATTAATCAATTTGACAGCCCTAATATTGATATAATATAATTTATAGAATATATTTATAAATAATTCATAAAATAAATAGTACTGAAAAT